AGGAATGACAGAGGAATGCTCCTGGAGAACTGCAAGTTTCAGGAGGAGATTAGAGCTATGTGTATATGTATATATATGTGTAGGTATACATATGCAAGGATATTACGTGTGTGTTGGTTCATTTAACAGAATACATTTCGCTGTGTTGTCATTGAGGTTTTCTTGTGTTGCACTAAGAAAAATCCTCAGAACACTGAGGGCACTTACACAATGGGCAGTGCTGTACTTGAGGTCTGATATGTAATCGTATTTTGATCAAAAAAATAAAGGTGACATTTGTGGTCTGTGCCCAGCTCTCCAGAGTGTTGAGATTTATTCTGGTGAGTGATTTTTTTTCTGATAACAGAGGGTAGGCTGTTTGGAGGCTCATGTTTACTGGGGGGTGGGAAAGTAAACATGTTTCTTGTTGTATTTTGTTTTCTTTTTCAAACAAACACACTCTAGATTTGGATGTTGATACCTTCCAAATTTACCAGCCGCAGCTTACAGTTGCCAGAAAGCTCTTGTCCCAGGTTTGTGCTATAGCAGACAGTGGCAATCAGAGCCTGGATCTAGGCCACTTCAGCAAAGTAGACTTCATCGTTATAGTGCCCCGTTCAGAAGTCCTGGTGCAGCAGACCCTTCAACGGATTCGACAATCAGGTAAAAGGGAGGGGAGGGAAAGGAGACTGTTAAACCAAATTATGTGATGTTGCTAAATCATATCTGGTATAAATGGAGAAATAAGTTGCTCCAACATGTATTTTGCATGTCCAATATTAGCTCCATTAGTTGGTATCATCAGTGAATTCTGAATATCTTCCTTTCATAAACTGGGCTCAAGTTGTGCCATGTGTCAAAAGAAATTGCCGTATTCATGCAGGTCTGAGCAATGTATGACCTGGAGAAGCATTCAGCTGCCAAGAGAGGGAGTGGATGAGCAAATCAGAGTCATAGAATCATAAAATCTTTTAGGTTGGAGAAGACCTTTAAGATCATCGAGTCCAATTGTTAACCTAACATTGCCAAATCCGCCACTAAACTATGTCCCTAAACACCACATCCACCCATCTTTCAAATACCTCCAGGGATGGTGACTCAACCATCTCTCTCGGCAGCCTGTTCCAACACTTGCTAATCCTTTTGGTGAAGAAATTTTTCCTAATATCCAATCTGAACCTCCCCTGGCACAACGTGAGGCCATTTCCTCTCATCTTCTCACTTGGGAGATGAGACCAACCCCCACCGCCTTACAACCTCCTTTCAGGTAGTTGTAGAAAGCACTAGGGCCTTCCCTGAGCCTCCTCTTCTCCAGGGCAAACAACCCCAGTTCCCTCAGCTGCTTCTCACAGGACTTGTGTTTCAGATCCTTCCCCAGCTCCGTTGCCCTTCTCTGGGCACCCCCCAGCACCTCAATGTCCTTCTTATAGTGAGGGGCCCAAAACTGAACACAGGGTTTGAGGTGCGGCCTCAGCAGTGCCCAGTACAGGGGTACAACCGCTTCCCAGCGGAACAGCCACAGCTGCGGCTGTTCACATCTTTTATCCCTGGAGCTGCTAGTGCTGTTTGTTCTGGGTACACGCTTGTGCATAGGCTGTCACGTGTATTAGCACAGACGTGTGTGCAGGACGCTCTCCGGTTAGGTAGATAAATGCCTGAGCAGTACCTGTGCACTGGCACACAGTAAGAACCATGTGAGTCAGGTGGCGAGTGTTCCTGTCTGGGCTTCAGTGTGTGACCAAGGCTGGTACCAAATGCTTTGAGAGGAGCCGGAAAGCTTTAGCCGACAGATTGTGGAATATGTCCCCACTTGAGAATGACCTCTCTTATCAACTCTGTTAGTGACTGACACGGATCCAGAAAAGCGCAAGAGTTTCTCTGTGGAGAAAATTGCTGTCTAATAGAACTAAGGACTGTCTGTGTAGATGTTTGGTCCTTTTTAGCTCTTGATGATCTCTGGGAGTCATGAAGCCCTTAGGATATCTGTGCATTTTGGATTTTTTTTTTTCCTGCCTTCAGCTTTATCTAATAATATCTTATATTTGCAACACATGAATATGAGCTTCTGGTGTAATGCATCTAGGAGTGGTTTGGGGTAGCTGTTGGCTTTTTTCCCTCTTATTTTCTGCTCAAAAAAGCCCCACACTTTCTGATTGTGCAGATATGCCCTGATATCACTTAATACTGTGGTCCATCTCGGTGGGTTTTTTTTCTCTGCTTTGTACATTTTTACTAATAAAATAGATTACTTGAAGTACAGGTTTCTTTTCCTTTCTAATGTAACTTTATGGGGGTTTTTGTTCAATTCCTTGTTTCTTCAGACATTGTATTTACTTAATTTGCTGCTCCACTCTAAACCAGAGGGTTTGTGATACCTGTTAACAGGGTTTCACATTTATTTTATTTAATTTCACTTTTTACATGAATGGTTTTTACTTTACTTTTTAAAATATATTTTCTTAAAATCATTAAGACCCTGGCAAATACATAGTTGATCCACATTTCATGGTGGCTTGTTCCTACTCCTTTAATTCAAATGGTATTTAAAGCCATACACATCACATCATGCCTACTTTATGAACATGGTGGCAGTCCATCATTATGAAGACTGTTAGAGAGTAGTTGTGTTGACACCACTAACGTTGAAGCAGGGCATGGAAAAAATTATATGTAGCCAGAGTCCATTTTATATACATTTATGATTTCTGCAAAGGAAAGGCTGGGGTAACTCTTTCTGACTTGTGCAAGATTAATGTATTAGTTAAATGTGGACACGTTTGGCCTAGTTTGGATCATGGAGCATAGTCAACTGAGAGCTGCTCTGGAAATCTTTGTGGAGGTCTAATTTTTTAAAAATTTCTTTTTTAATTTTATTTTTGGTAATATGAGAAGTCTTTGAAAGGCCTTCAGGCACTTCTTGGAGGAAATCCAAAAGCCAAGAAGCCCATTTAGGACCCCATTGTGAGGGAAAATACATTCAGATAATCTTTTCCGTACTAGGGTGTAGCAGCGATTTGGCTAAGTCCTGATATTGGCAGACAACCTACTGTTGACACTTCATTTTTGGATGTGCTCAAAGGAAAAGATTTTTGTTGTGTTCTTCTTTCTGACAGGTGTCCTTGTGGACTTGGGCCTAGAAGACAATGGAACAGCCTATCAGAGAGCAGAGAAATACGTGGTTCGGCTAGACAATGAGATTCAAACCAAATTTGAAGTTTTCATGAGACGAGTGAAGCAGAATCCCTATACGCTGTTTGTGCTGGTTCATGACAATGCCCACGTGGATTTAACAAGGTAGCTGCTTTAATCTACCACACGAAAGCCATCCTCTTCCTGTATATTTCAGTAAGGCTTTTCAAGGCTTACCATCTTAGACACCCGATGCTTTCTCTAGGCCTAAGACATTTTGTGCCTCAAAATCAGAAATCATCTGTTTTGCTTACCCAAGATATTTGTTAACTAATTCTGATTCAGTTGAAGATAGGTGAGACTCGTTTCAGATTTTTAGATCCCTAAGAAGACTGTCAGTGTTATGGTACAGCAATCAGGAAAAAAGGTGGAATTGAGCAAATTTCTTTGTTCTTCTTGTCTTGTCTCCTTTTTCTCAAATCCAAATCTCTCCTGTGTTCACAATCTACTCATGTTTTAGTTCATGTTTTTATCCTTGATGATAGTGCTGTTCATAATATAAAATTCTGACAGACTATTCTTTGCATCATCTGAAAATGTCCTAGCTCCTGTAAGAAAAGGATGTAAAAAACTGTGGTGAATTTGGTCGGTGTTAGATCTAAACAAAACAAGACATACACATGTGTGCAGAAACATTTCTTCGCACTGAACCACAACTCTACTGTGGATAAAGAAAGAAAGAAGTAAAGCTAATTATTCTGCTCTTGTTCCATGAGCAAACTTAAACATGGTGTGTAAGACACTGGGATTAATTTGAATATTAGAATTCTAGTAAATAAAATGCTTTCCTTGAAGGACAGCTGAAAATAGATAAATGCAACATTCTTCCTATCTTATCCCCCCCATTGCTTTTTTGTTACTGTCTTTGCTGTACACTGAATTTGGGATTCCTGAATATTCTGGAGGTGAAGGTAATTCCAGGAAATGAAAATCAGAACATCAAGAGACTATCGGGTACCACAGGCTTTTAGGAGAATGTTTCAGTCTGAAAAATCCACTGGAATTTGTAAAATTGGTACTGTATCCTAACCTCACATCTCATGGAACAGTTTAGTCAGTGAGAGAGATTTCAGCTTTGGCTTGTTTTTGGTTTCCTCCATCTGATGCTCTTTTAAATTGGCATGTTAATTCCCCTTCTCACTGTCACCAGATTTTGGTCCTCTATTTCGTTCTTTTTCCCCCGTTGCCTGAGTCTACCCACAGAAAACACTCAAATGGTTTTGACATCTTTCACCCTCCCAAAGAGTTTTTTGAGCTGCGGTTCTCCATGCCACGGTCATTTGGAGGTTTTTCTGCAGGAAGAGAGTACGCCGTTGAATCTCAGGATGTCAGTAAGGCAGTTCTTTGCATTCTTCTTTCTGCAGTGCCATTTCAAGTTCCCTGTCACATGGTGAGCCTAGTCATGGTCTGGCTGATAGAGTTATTAATTGCAGGGAGGTCCTTGAAGCATTCAACCTCCTTGTTCTTCATTTTCCCTTATGCCTTGCAAACGCAGCAGTCCAGGATCAGCTCTAGCAATGAGGTACATTGGATACAATTTGACGCTGTGGTAAGTGTTTAACTGTTAATTTTAACTGTGAATTTTAATGTGGACTTCACACCTAACAGAATCTAGCAGATGTGTTTTAAGGAAAAATGCTAGGAGGGAGCTCTTTCTCTGCTGGATTTTGTTCTCGCAGGCTCCAGGTGCACAGCCTTGGATGTGATGGTGGAGGTAGCATTGACATTTAGGCTATATTTTCTTTGTCGCCTCATGTAATATGAGTCATGTAATAATACTTTCTACACTCTGGTCAGACAAAGCTATGTAGCCGTGCTGTAAAGCACTGGAGCAGGCCTTCTATTTTCCAGCTGTCTGGCTTTTGACTGTAAGTTACGTGTCAGATAGCCTGTCGAGTCTGTTCATGATATCTCTGGTAGTGATACAAGTTGTGTGCTGGGTTAAAAAGTTATGGTGTAGTAGATGCCATTGTTGTGCAGGGAAGTGGCGAGAAAGTTCCGTCCGACATCCTGCACTGTTACCTTTTTTCACCATTTCAGCCAGCTGTTTCCAAGGGTATTTTGGCAAAACCTGCTTAAAAAATAGCCTTGTTTGGTCTATTTGTATCAAGTTTGACTTTACTGTGCTGAGTGGACCGCTGGTTCCTGTAAAGTGTCTTAAAGTGGTAGCTGTAAAAAATGAAGTCAGACTACATATAGTGGAAATGAGGGAGTGAATGAATAATCAAAGTTTGCTTTTTGGTTGATTGTTAATATAAGCCATAGTGATGACCTTCTGTAAAAGAGCCTAGGCATTTTTTTTGTTTCCCAAAAGTAAAAAAATCAACAACTTCTTGTCTCATGTCTTTATTAAAAAAATATTCCACTAAAAAAAAAGAGGAGGCTGCATGTGATTCACTACATTCCTAGCGATTACTGGTGATGTAAATACACTGGAGACCATGTTGTGCTTCCTGCAAACGCCTCATGAAATTTGAGGTAGCAAACACTCTCCCTTTCTGATTGCTGTCTGCAGATTTACATTCCAGCAAAGAAATGATCAGTTTCTGATTGCCACTGGGGTCGTGTAGAATCTGACTGTCAAGAAGTGTTTCAGAAATGAATCATTCTTCTGGTTTTAGGTTCTGCTTTAAATAGAGATAACATTTGTCAGTGGTTATAAAGCCAAAGATAGGGACTCAGAAAATAATTAGCAGGATTCTAAAACCCTTCTGCAGTCACACATAGGAGATATATTAAAGAACTTGTGAGTACCTACACCTGTCTTTCCTAGCTGTAGACAAATAATAAGTTATGTAAAACACTATATACGTTTTATTGTATTCTTTGAAACAAATAAATAGCATCACTGATGGAGAATGAATGAAAAGAAAGGACACACTTTGCTTTGGAAAATAGTTTCCACTTATTTTTTAAATGACAAAAGAAACTAAAACTGGTTCCAGTTTTCCTTATGTTTTTGCTATCTCTGTATGGAACAGGATGACGCAGCAAGTGAAGACAAGCTGTACTTTGGTTTGAATGAATACAGCAAATCCCTCCAATGGGGAGTCACAAGTCCCCTTTTGAGATGTGATGAAACCTTTGAAAAAATGGTCAACACACTTCTAGAAAGGTAAATAGTAACATGGGAGCTTGGGATTCTGCTTAATTGGGATCATAAGGATACAGATGTACTTATGAGCCCCATCACTGGGGAATGAAGACATGATGATCATTGATATTGATGTTGGAGTCCATGAAGTATGTGCAATTCTTATTTTTGTAATGAATTTAGTGCTGTTGAAGAGGCAAGGTCTAACCGTCATTTGTTTGTAGAAGAGATTAGGCCCATTCAGCAGCAGTCCAGGCTCCGCTGTGCTGCTCTCTTCTTTTGGCTTAGCCTTCCCTAAGCCAAGAAGGTACCAGAGGTTTCATACCTCACTACTCCTGGTGTCTCTCTGCCGAGACTGCCAACAAATTTTCACTGGTGGCCCGGGTGAGCGACGTGATTTCACAAACATAATTTTTAATTAGCTGGCTCTGGTTTTGGTTCCTGCAGCTCAGAGACCAAAAGTAGCTTGTTAATACCCTGCAGCTGCCAGAACAAGCTACTTTCATAGCACGTATCCAAGATATAATTAAATACGCACATTATGGAATGAAGACAGTCGTGTGGTTTCCAGCGATGTGGAAACCTGTTCTGTGTCTTCCCTTATAACAGTTCAGCTGCAGTTCTCACTGTATTTTAATATTTACTAGAACAGGATTGTTGTGTCTTCAGTACTGGTTTTCTTATTTAGGTCAGTGTAACTAATAATTTTAGATGTATCTATACTTATTAAGTAAAATGCAATAGTAAATGTATTAAATTAGCAACATGAATAATTAAGTACATAATGATACTTAGTATTATCTACAAGTATAATAATGAATAATGAATGAATGTAAATAATGAATGTAAATAATGAATGTAAATAATAATAATAAGATCAGTTAATCCTAAATCGGTTCTTTAAGCTTCTCATAATCTTTCTGGCCAAGTCCAGTGGAAGAGATAGTGGTCTCCTTTTCTCTCTTTCTGTTCTTAAAATGTGGATGGGGAAAAGGATGAAGGAGGATTAATGCATGTGCAAATACTGCCCTGATATGGGAGTTAGGATAAGATTTGACAGGAGGTGAACCCGTACCTTGGAGCCAGGATATGCTTTTCCCAGATTTCACAGAATGGTAGGGGTTGGAAGGGCATCACAGTATATTGATTTAGCCTCTCTTTTCAAGAAACTGGGTTATTCCATCTGGATGGGTGAGCCAGGCAAGAGTAGAAGTCTGAAAACATTGCAGACATGTTGGTATTGGTATTTTTGTAGTCTTCGAAATCATAATTTGGACTTATGTGGCATAAGACTAGCACTCGAGGGATAGTAACATAAGGGTTTTTCTGTATTGCGGTAGTGAGTAAACTCATGGGGAATGTCTAGAAATGGAGTGCTTTTTTGCTTGAGTAGGTTTTAATCTTGTTTTTTTCTTAGCATTTTACTTTGAGTTCGTATCTGTTGTCACCACACATACCTGTAATGAGAGAGAAAGAAACATTGGCTATGTAAGTTAAAAGGCAAAATATGATTTCAGATTTTGCTCAGAGCCAGCAATCCCCATTGGTAAGTAAATTTCTGCTGAGAGGGCGAGACGTGTGAAATTCTACGGTGGGGTCACGAATGAAGAGGTGGCCTTCTGTGATGGGGTTACAGCCTTGGTGGATAGACGATGGGCAACCAGTGTCATTTACCCGGACTTGTGCAGGACGGTGTCAAAGGCTTTGCATGACGCCCTTGTCTCTAAACTGGGGAGACATGGATTTGACGGATGGACTGCTCAGTGGATAAGGAACTGGCTGGATGGTCACACTCAGAGAGTGGTGGTCAATGGTGTCTGAGTGGAGACCAGTAATGAGAGGCATTCCTCAGGGGTTGGCGTTAGTGACATGGATGATGGGATC